GGGTAAGACCATGAGCCCAACCTCCGTCCTGCGAGAAACGAGCTCGGAGTCTGTTTAAATGCTCCGGCTAAAATGCCCAAGAGGTCCAAGTCCGGCGGCCTGCGCGGTTCTGCTGCACACTGCCGACCCCCTCCACCTCCGCGGCACGTGGAAAGTGACAGCTCCGCGCTGCTGTCACTCTCGTATTCCGCTTGATTCCTGATCTTCACTTATTCGGACGGGGTGTGGGGTGGGGGAGCAGTTTCTAAAACCCATGAACGATAGCGTTTGAAAGGCTTGGCTAACGTGGATTTCGTGCCTCAGAGTTCTGTTATTTTAACAGTTTCTCTTCATGTTCGTAAACCATTTGCTAAATCCCCCACATGTATTCTGCTGTGTTTAGTTGACTTTGGTTGTCTACTTCCTGAAGACTCGGAATAAATAATACATGGGTTTTCTTGGAACGCGAGAATCCCAGGCCTCCCTTGACATCACATTTCTTCAACTGCTGTTTCTGTATGACGAAGGGCACCGTTTTCGAAATGCCAGTTATGAGACTAAACAAAAACTAGCAAGAAAACACACGATCATAAGTATTTATAAGTTATGGTACATTTTCGAGCATCTTACACAAGCATAGGTGCTCACGTTGGTAAGGTGAAATCGTGTTCACACTGGAGTTGATCCTAAATAATGTCCTAAATTCAACTCTATGTATAATGCCTGGCACACTCTGTTGTTCATTAACTCTAGAAGTGTAATAAAAATCCTAGGGAGTTGCATTTTCTTGTGTATTCTTTTTCATTTTACAGTATATATTATATGCATAGGGATCCACACGTATTTTAACTTATGGGTGATTTAATGGATTTTTAAGAGTAATTTTGCCACTTTTAGACTGATTTTAAAACCTGAATTGTATTCTGCCGTATACCAAAATGCAAAGAGATCATCTCTGGGTGATGGGATTATAGATGATTTTAATGTACTGTTTTATTTGTACTTTATAGATTTCTATAATTTGTTTGTTCGAAAAACATAAATTCTATTAAACTTACAATGCCGTATTTGTATTCTATTAAGTCATGACAGCTTCTGTTACGTATTAAAAATAAACGACTCATCTGAGTAAGAACATGAATGGTCACGAACCCCCAGTCAATGACACCAGAGAGCTCCTCTCCCACCCACCCCTGCCATGGAGGCACTGCCTATGCGACAAGACCAGGAAAGGAGAAGAGAGAAGGGACAGTCGTTCAGCGAGAGCCCTAACTATCCTCTTTTCCAAATGAAGTGACTGTATACACAAGGGACAGTCAAGAGTATATACAAACTATTATAATGAGAGTAAAACTATATTGGCGAATACAAGATCCATGTACCAAAAATTCAATTCTCATCTCACATACCAATAATAATCATTAGAAAACTAATTTAAAAAATCTCATTCACAGTAACAATGAAATTTCTAAGTTATCAAGGAGTAATCTAATGAAAGATGTGTAGGAGTTTTCTGAAGATAATGGCAAAACATGACTAAAGAATGTTTTAAAAATATGAATAAGTGTTATGGGCTGGAAGATTCAACAACACAAATAAGCCAGCTTCTCATAAATACAAAGTAATCAAATCAATCAAAGGCCCAACAGAGATTTTTTTTTGGTCAAATAAGGAAAATTAATTCTAAAATTTATGTGGATGATCAAAGGGACAAAAATAGTCAAGAGAATTCTAAAGAAAAAAATTACACAGGAAGGTTTTTTTCTCATATATCAACACTTATGTTAGAACTACAATAATTAATGCAACGTAGAACTAGTACAGAGACTGGCAAACAAGGTGAGACATCAGAACAGAAGGCACAGCAATAGGACCACGGACGTAAACTTGGCATATGACAAAGTGGCATTACGATCAGTGGGGAAAACAACAGACTACTCAATAAGGGAACAATTTATTATCCAAGACAAAAAAAAGAATATAATTAGATCCCTTTGATGCGATACACAAAAATAAGTTTTGGTAGATGGAAAGACTGTATGTGAAAAGGAAAAATTTTAAACTTTAATAATAAATTACAGAAAAATATTTTCATTACCATAGGATATATCAGTATTACCAAAATAAGGTCAAGAAAGCTTATGCTGCATATAAGATAATCTGTGTGTAGTCTATGGACACATTTGTAATATTAAAATGAATATAATCATGCCTATTGTATTCTCTGTCACATGAGAAGAGCTGACTGAGTGCCGGTGGTTATCATTGACACTGTGGTAGCTTACACATGCTCACATAGAGAACATTCTAGATTCTATATTCAATCGAGCTACACAGGCCATAAGTGACTCAAAATTATGTTAAAACCAGTTTGCTTATTTTATTAGAAATATATCTAATCCATGCATTGGTATTTCCCAATTATAAATAGTAAATCTAGAAATATACTTACAATGAGCATAATACCTGGAAACTTAAAGAGAAAATCAGATAGGGCATTTTCATATATCATTTTTAAATGGTAATACCAAATAAAATTGGACTTAGAACCACGAATTTGAGTTTCCAGTCTGTGGAGACTGAGATGACTCAGTGCAAACCCGCGCTGCCTAAGGCGGTGGACACCAGGTCACGTGTGGCTAGTGAGCCGCTGAACTGGGGCCACACCAAATTCGGACGTGCTGTCGTACAAAATACACCGTGGAATCTGAAGAATCAGTACAAACACATAAAACACACCAGTAACAAAACTGGTTTGAAGAATGTGTTATCTGAATTTCTTATGCTGTAAGGAGAAGGCTGTGTGATATGCAAGCGTATTTATTATTTCAGATTTGGGTGGGAACTTATGTTTCCAGTTCAAGCTCAGAACTGCCTATAATCAGTAAGATTATTTGAGGCAAATAGATCACTTTTAAAGTATATCACAAAATTGTATATAATAAATAAGGCAGAAGAAGTTTGTTTCAACTTTATAGCAAATATTTATTCGTATGTGTTCCTCTCCTTATTTCCTGATACTGTCTTTTTGGTTCCATGTAAATTTTAGGATTATTTGTCCTAATTTTGTGAAAAACGCCATTGGTGTTTGATAGGGATCATGCAGAATCTGCAGATGGACATTTTAACGATATTAATTCTTCCCGTCTGTGAGAATGGTGTATCCTTCCATTTACTTATGCCTTCGATTTCCTTCAACGACGCCTTACAGTTTTTAATGTTCGGGTCTTTCGTCTTCTTGGTTACATTTATTCCTAGGTATTTTATTCTTATCGAGGCGATTATTTATAAATGGGACTGTTTTCTTAATTTCTGTTTTGATAGTCTGTTATTATGTACAGAAACAATAGATTTTTGCATCCTGATTCTGCATCCTGCAACTTTACTGTATTCATTTATTACCTCGGTTTTCTGGCAGACTCTTTAGGGCTTTCTATATATAGTTATCATATCATCTGCAAATAGTGGCAGTTTTACTTGTTCCCATCCAACATGGGTACCCTGTATTTCCTTCTCTTGTGATCGCTGAGGCTAGGGCTTCTGATACTATCCTGGATAACAGCGGTGGCAGTGGGCATCCTTGTCCTGTTCTTGCACTTTCTACCAGTGAATACCATGTTAGCTGTGGGTCTGTCATATATGAGGTATGTTCCTTCTACATTCATGTTGCTAAGTTTTTATCATAGAGAGATGCTGAATTTTTCTAATGCTTTTTCTGTGTCTAGTGAGATGATCTCACGATTTTTATTCCGTTTATGTGGTGTATCCTGCTGTTTGGTTTGCGGGTATTAAACCATCCTTGCATCGCTGGAATAAATCCCACATGGTCATAATGTATGATCCTTTAAGTATTCTGCTGAATTTGTTCTGCATATTTTTTTTGAGGATTTCTGCATCTATGTTCATCTGGAATACTGGCGTGTAAATTTTTTTTTTCTTTTGTAGTGTCTCTCTCTGGTTTTGGTATTAGGGTAATATTGGCCTTGAAGAATGAATTTGAAAACTTTCCCTTCTCTTCAATTTCGTGGACTAGTTTGAGAACAGGTATTAATTCTTCCTCGAATGTTTGGTGGAACTCACCTGGGAAGCTGTCTGAACTTTGGTTTTTCGGGAGTTTTTTTGATGACTGATTCAATTGTTTCTAGTAACAGCTCTATTCAGATTTTTTGTTTCTCCCTGATGCAGTCTTGGAAGATTTTATGCTTTTAGAAATTTATCCATTTCTTCTAGGTTGTTGGTGTGTATTGTTCAAAGTACTCTACAATCTTTTGTATTTCTGTGGTATTGCTTCTCTTTCATTTCTGATTTTATTTATTTGGGCTTGCTCTTTTTTTCTTGATGAGTGTGGCTAGAGGTTTGTCTATTTTGTTTATCTTTTCAAAGAACCAGCTCTTAGTTTCAGCTCTTAGTTTCGTTGACCTTTTCTATTGTTTTTTTTTTAGTCTCTGTCTCATTTATTTCTGCTCTAATCTTTACCATTTCCTTTTTTCTACTCATTTTGGGTTTTGTTTGTTCTTTTTCTACTTCCTTTAGCAACGTGACTGCTTCATTTATTTTTACCTCATTTGATCTTCACTACAGCTCCACCACAGAGGAACAATGGCTCCCCTCATTTTACGGATGAGGAGTTTAAGCAATCTGCTCGAGGTCGTACAGGTGGTAGGTGCCTGGACTGAGACCGTGGCCTACGCTCAGCTCCCACCCCATGGTCTTCGGTCTCAAAACACAACTGGGTCATTTACTCATTAAATATGTTGACCTTATTAAAGATCAAGTTTTGTTGAATGAAAAATATGCTTTTTATTTTATATTAGACGTTCACTTCTGTTCTTTAGAAAATAAAGGTGTGAAACAAAAACAACAGGTGGCCTAAGCATTTGGGAGAAGTTCAGGAACCACATAAGAATCTGAGCTCGTTGCATTCCTTCTGGGAAGCTGACTGTGCTACGTTTAGGTGCTGTTCAGTTAAAAAGTGACGCAGTGACGATATCTGACAAATGCTTCCCACCTAAGTTCCATACCTTCCGGAAGTATTCTTCAGTATGGCCAGGGCATCTGGGTAGCCGTCCATGTTGTAGTCTCCGATACGAAGGGTGATTGGAATCGGTATTTCGGTTGGTCGCTGTTCATGCACGAATGGCACAAAGCCCCAGAGTGTGCCCTTATTGCTGAAATCCTGCAGGACTGGAACCCACTATGAATTAAGAAGAAAAAGATGAGATTTTACAATTATTTTAGAAAAAAAAAATTCACCATTTGCAAAACAAATGATCCATTACAAGTCTTCAAGATAAGCATCATCTTAAGTTCTTTATCTCTAGAATAAGATAGGATATTATAATTTACTTTGATAAATAGGTAACCAATACACTGGGGAAAAAACAGTTCCTGTTAAAATTTATCATTAGTTACCTTTCACTGAATGGGCACATAGGGCCTTAGAAGGTTTTTGAGAGTCACAGGATCTTAGATTAAAACGATGTTAATAATCACAGAGAACTGCCCGTTTAAAAACTTGTTTCGTGAAAAAATAACCTCGAGTAAATATTTTTAAAAATTAGAGCGAACTGTAATATCTAATACCGATGTCCTTTCAAGACCAGTTCAAGAAGAAAGCTAGAACATGACAGACTCCCCAGTCCTCCTGCTGTGCCTCCGACACATAACGATGACTTCTGTCATCGTCTTCAGAGCCAAGCAGCTCTGGGTCTCTCTGGACAATACCAGCCCTGACAAGTCCTGCCTGCCCGCGATTACGAGCTTGGTCACCAAAAGAGCTGAAAGGCATGTTTTTAATAAATCTTTATTTCTATATTAATTATAATGAGTAGAGAGAATAGGTTGGTTTCAAAATAAGCTTTTGGGATTCTGTCTCTTCCGAAGGCCTGAATCTTCCCTTCTAATAATCTAATGCAAACTAAAAATCTAAAAGTAGAAATCCTACCTTTAAAATTATCGATGTGCCTGTAATAAGCTCAGAGTATGGATACTGGCACATCACCTGGGGACATCCAAGCAGAAGCGGGCACGGCTGGCTTGAAATGGCAGGAGGCCAAATGTACCTAAGATGTTTTTTTCCTTATAAGCAAAAGAGACTCATTTCTATGGATGCATGACAAACTGTATTAAAAATGGCTTCTTGAAAAAGATTTAGTACACAGGGTATCCTCAACATTTTCTAGGTTATCCAAAGAAAGCATAATTTGCGAGGGGAAAAAAGAAAAAAAAAATAGCTTAATGATAAAGACAAATTTACAGAAAACGAGCTGTTTTAAAGAACTTGTCTGCATCTTTAATCAACTTTTCGATCTTTTGTAAAGCAAAAAAAAAAAAAATCATCAAAATGCTTCACTTGTCTGAAAAAAAATAGTTGGTTTTGTTTTGGAAGATGGGAAATTTCACAAAATGCCAAGTTATCACAAATTTCTGAAGAGGTTGACAGTTTATTAATGAGGATAAAGTATTCCTGTTAAGGTAAATGTATTAGGGTCTAAACTGTGAAAAGATTTTTCATTAATGTGACATCTTTAACAGTCACCAAAAAACTGTGACATATATCTTCTCAGAGAGAGATGACTGTGTAATTTGAAAATATTCTTACAGGAGTCTGTCACTTGAAGACAGGCTATAATTCCCATGTTTACTTACACCCATGAACCAATAAGGAGGTGTTACTTGACTAATGTTTTCAGTGATTCGGAGTCAAAAAAAGTTCAAGATAATAAAACTTATAAGTGTCATAGTTAAATGGTTTTAGGATGCTGACTGTATAAAGACTTGTTTTCTTTAGTCTCTTAGTATAAAATGTGATGTTTCCTACCCATAAGGGCTATAAAAGTCAGTGTGTTATTCTAACATTCATTATCCCCAAATAGAAAATAAAACTGAATAACTGTACTGCTATATTACTGGTTTCCTTTCGGTGTTATCGATACGGAGAAATTCTTAGTGTCATAATCTATCATTCCCACATTAATCTTCGGCTGTGACTATCAGATACTAAATTGTTTACCTACGAGCTGCAGGGGAAAAGTCAGCATGAGCGAATGAAATAGATCTAGATACTGCAAATAAAAACGAGATTAGTCTTGAAAATAGATGCTCTATATAACCCTTTATTATAGTTATTGTGTCTTGCCGTATTCCCAGCATATAAAATGAAAACAGATCATTCAATTACAGGATCAAGAATGGGTTTTCTTCACTGGAAATGATTAGAACAGTACTTTCTCTCTTAATAAACCAATAAAAAAAATGATTTAAATGCAGTTCACTAAGTTAAAGTGAGAAAGCCAAGAATGTATTTTTGGTTTCTCTCTGTTCTGATTCTTTGGATATCTTTTCTGACCCCTGAAGATTTTCTTCAAGAACGTAATTCTATTTACATTAAAAAACGAGCTGGTATACCTGCTTTGTTCCGGATCCCGCTAAGTAGATGGTGCTTCTCTGGCAGTTTTTATCTTCACAGCCTGGGAGTAAGTGATCCATGTGTCCATCCCCATCTGCCAAAAAAAACCCAAAAAAACCCTCAAGAGTCTATCAACAGCCACAATATAAAGTGTTCTTGTACGGCAGATTAAATTTCCTATTTGCTCAAAGTCTACGTTAACCTGGATAAAATGAGAAATTTGACCCGTGACTTTGAATAAACGTGATTCAATTAAAAAATTACTCTGGTGCTTGTGCTTCCTGTTACTTAGACTGTGTCTTCTTTAAAGTTGCTCACTTTTCTGAGGTTAACTGTTTATCCAATGCTGGAAAAAGACCCCATTTCATGCTGGATAATGTTAAAAACAGTCAATTAAAAAAATGGGAATTTTGACTTATTTACATAATTATCATTGCTGCCACGGGAGCATGTCAGCAGTAACCCATTATTATATGGCATATTTTAAATGTGTCTTCACACATAACTTATCTTTACACATACTTTTTTAAAAGTGTCTTTTGTATAGCATGAACTTCAAGAGTTATAAAGATTTCAGCTCCCCGACTTCTAAGAAGCGCCAATAAATTTTTATCAATAAAAAAGCAAATGAAGGGAATACAGATGTCATTTCCAACGGACTGGGTTTTAAAACGCCGCACAGTGTCTAGAAAGACTGCTCCAGATGAGGCTGCTGAGGGCTTGGAATCAGTCCCTCCTACCTGCCGGCCCCACGCCTGGTGGGGTGTACAGATTCTGATGTCCTACAGCTAAATCGACAAGGACATTCACAGCGGAGTGGTTCCTTAGCTTTTAGATGTGGGGCCTGAATTTCTGTTGCTTCAATCACTGATTTATTTGCTCCGGTTTAATGTTTCACTTCACGTGTGCCTGCCGTGGAGCCTTCGCTTAGAAGGACATAGAAGGGTGACAAATGATGGCCTTCTGGTGTAGGCTTACCTACTGAGAGATATATAACTATAATACGCCCATCGAGTCTCCAATAATGTATTCGAAAGGAAAAAAACCTTCAGGCCGAGTGGGACGGAAGCCTAGCGGAGGGAGCTGACCTCAGCAAGGCGAAGGCGAAGGCGGGGCACGGGCTCAGGGCAGGCCGCCTCTCACGATCAGCAAAACTACAGCTAAGCCACACGATGACCGGCACGGGGACCGCCTGAGGTCTAGCTGAAAAGAAGGCCCACAGCTGGGGACATATCGAAGAGGCCACCTCGAGGATGTAAGGGAATCGCTAGAAATTAAGTCAGGGGAAAAAAAAAAATCTTGGGAAAAGAAAAGGGCATGGCCTAGTGAAAAATGAATTTCTTTCATTTAATTTCATGGGCTAATTACTTCAGATTCTCATGATTGATGTCTGTGATACCATTAAATACAATTGTTGGAATAATAATGGAAAGTGGATTCCTGAGAAAGAAGTTGAGAGATGGAACTCTAGGCAGGAAAACTTGGAAAGGAGAGGGCTTTCTGAGGCCATAAACATTTATCACGGTTAAAAAAAATAAATAAAAAAGAGCTAGTCAAGTAAGAATGAATTAAATGCAAAAATGTGATTTATAAGCTGGCTCTAGTAATAGTACAGATTTCATTAAAAACCAAACCACTTTATTACAAATTAATGGGGGACCAATTAGAGAAACGTTACTAAGTCTCTGCCCTTCATTTTTTCCCCAGTGGCAAAAGATTAGATCATGATTCAAACTAGTTTCTTTTAGTTTGGACCTTAGGGGAGAAGGGACCAGCTTCTCTTTCTTCCAAGAAGTTTCCTATTTCCCATGAGTATTTTCACCATGACTTAGCCGATATTTAATGCTGGCAAATGACCATCTAATAACCATACAACTAACTCACCTGATAACATCATAACCCCGCCTTTTAGTATAAATTATCAGCAATATTTTATAGGTATCTACAGAAATCTAGAACTCGATCAGAGACCATGTTTCTCGTGCTGCCTCTACGTGCTATCTTTTGATTCTTCTCTAAAGCAGCTAATGTTCCTGAAATAGATGTGCTGCCTCTACGTGCTATTTTTTGATATTTAAGGGAAATGAGAGAAAAGCTTTCTGAGACTCCAACTTCATAACCCCCCGAATTTCTCTCTTAAAAAAACTTTTATATCTTACATGTTTCACCTTTCTGCATGTTTTTTTAAACTTTTATTTGAAAATAATTTAAACTTAAAAGTACAATAATAAAAACAGTACAAGGGATGCCTGTCAGCTCCTAACTAGATGTGCCCCGTGTTAACATTTCCCCGCAACTGTGTCATCATTTGTGTGGCCTGCGACATCAGTCTCCTTTCTGAACCAGGTATGGAATCGCGTAACTTGCGGCCCTTCACCCCTAAACACGTGAGTGTGTATTTCCTAGGCTCGGGCATGGTCTCTGACATAACCATAGCACACTTCACCGCTTCGCACAGATTAGCACTTTTATCCGATGCACCATCTACGTTCCGACTTCGCCCAGCGACCTAATAACGCCCCAGTGTTTCTGCCCCGTAGCACAGGGCCCAGGAGAGGGGCAGAAATTGCATTTAGCTGCTATTTACCTTTAGCATCCTTTAATCTAGAATTGTTCCAGTCTTTGTCTTTTATAATCTGCATATCTTTTTTTTTAAACTCACACAAAGGAATGTTTTTCTTTTTAGTAAGTTATTATGCTTAAGAAAGAAAGTAGTTTCAAAAAAATAAGTTTCGCATGAATCAGAGGCACAAGGCTAGGGACTAGGATTTGTTACGTGAATTCTCTGCGAAGTGCTGAGACTTTGTGAGCAGACTGGGAGGGGCCCCGGACTGTGAGGCAGGCCCCACGTGTGACGAAGTCACAGGAACCACGACCCCCGACTGCCTTCCTCCCGGGACCTGAGGAAGGCGTCTGGCAAGTTCTCCTGAAGGCTACGTTCCTTCCTGAAGACTAGACAGGAATGAGAACAGAAGGGATGACATTTTGATGAACTCACTTTATGACCCGCGGTGTGAAAACCGGCCCTCGGAGCGGCTCATCACTAGAGACTGAAGTGCACACGAGTCGTGTGATGCTAACCTCACGCCAGATTTCAAATAAAATTCTTCTCTAAAGCAGCTAATGTTCCTGAAATAGATTTAATGATTCAAACTGCTTTTCTGAAAAATTTTAATTTTAAAACCAAGAGGACACTAAAAGTTATTGTTCTCATAAAAATGGATTACAATGAATTTCTGCATAATAATTTTTCTGTTTAATTAAGCAGGAGACAAAGGACACACAGAAGAATGGGTCACACGTATATTACTGAGCCTCTTGAACGTTCGTAATACTTTCGGTCTCATGAAGTGAGCTCATCTGTGGTTATCGTTTGAGTAAATTACAGCTCACTGTTCCGGCCCCGGACTCCCTGGCCAACCTGACGATCCACAGTTTCTCTAACGCAGTGATTCCCAAATGTGGTCCCCGGTGCCCCGGCCTCAGCATCACGGGGAGCTTGTAAGAAATGTGAATCCTGGGGCCCCCGTCCAGATCCGATGCGTGAGGCAGGACCTCTGCGGGGAGCACGCAGCCTCGTTTTCATAAGCCCTCTTATGAAAACGCACGCACGTGCGGTGAGGCGTGGGGTCTCCCACGGATGCCAGGGTGCCATTACGTACCCCTACTTGCCCTGATCATGCTCCTCCGTTTAGCAATAACTTCCTTGTTAATCAAATGGCACTGCCCCGTCAGGACTCAGACCTGTGTGCCTTTCTCAGGAGCTGTGCTTCAGCCTCTTGGGCTTGACTCCAGGTCATCTGCAAATTCTTGTGTCTTCTGGATAGGTCACTTCACCAGGGGGACAAAACAATGACCGTTACGTAAAACAGTGGTTTCGTGTGACTGTCTTGCCACTCCATGAGAGGTGTGGAGATTTTAACGTAATGGAAAGACTAGTTAGATATGGATTTTTAACTTGGCTTAGCTCGTAATAAATAATTAACCATCTAATTTTGGGAAAGAAACTGAAAAATAAATTTTTAAAGTACTAAGATACCTGAGGAACAGGATCTTTGTATTTTTAGAGCTGTTCGAGACATATTCTGCGTGCCCCAGCTCCCAGCTCCCCTCCTTAGTGGCAGCCACGGTGGCGGGTCCACTTGCAGGACGTGGGTCCTACCCCGTAAACACACAGCTGGCCCTCTGCAGACCAGGGTTTGCATCCACGGATCTTAATCAATATTCTATGATGCAGAGGGCCCGCAGTGATCCCTGCCATTCTATATGAGGGACTTGATCATCCCCGGATTTTGTACCCAAGGGGGTTCTGGAACCAACCCCCGGTGGATACCAAGGGCCAAGTGGGGAGTCAAAAGTTATACGTGAATTTCTGACCGCATGGGAGGGTGGAGTTGGTGCCCTAACCCCGCATTGTTCAGGGGTTAACTAGTACATATAACATATACACACGCACACACACACACACACACACACACACATATACACACACATATATAACTTGTACATATAACATATATACATATACATGTATATATGTATATGTATACGTATGTATACATACATATACGTGTATATATACGTATATATGTATACGTATATATACATACATATACGTATACGTATATATACATATATAACACACACACACACACACACACACATATAATCCTGCACAAACGATAGAGTACTCCACTTGTTTTTGGCACCTTGACTTTCTGATTTAATATATCTTTGAGACTGATAAATTTACATCTGCTCCACATATAACGGAGCATCACACTGAATGAATATAGTATCTCTTAAAATAACCAATCCTCACTGATGAGCAAACATTGCATTGTTTCCAATCTTTGATAATCCAAACGATCCAACAGTGAATAATTCTGACATATATTATTTCATCTTTGTGAAATTATATCAAAGTATAAATTCCTAAAGTGGAAATTACCGTTTCAATGGTCACACAAACATAATTTTTTCATTTTAATCTCCAAAGAGGAGTGGTTCTCAAACTTTTTAGTCTCAAGAATCTTTTATACTCTTAAAAACTGAAGACCCCAACAAGCGCTTATGTGGGTCATATCTATGGGT